TGACCCCTCGGCGGGGGCGCCGCCGCGCTCCCAAGCGGCGCACTGTAGCAGTGCGCCACCGGGCCGGCCCCTACTTACTCTTTTAATGGTGAAAAAAATGTGTATTTAGAATTAACCAGCTGGACTCCGTTTAGATGATCCCAGTTTTGTTGGCAATATCCAAAGCATCATAATTAGGAGCCAATCGAGCATATGCCATCTTCTCTCCATCAGACCTGATCGGGGTATGACCCTGTCCACATGAATGTCATAGAGCTTCTTCAAGCCTGTTTAATCTGGTGCTTATTGGCCTTGACATCCACAATGAACACAAGTGTGCTGTTGTCCTCTGTCTTCAAGGCAGACTTAGTGGTCAGGGGGAACTTGATGATGGCACAGTGGTCAAGCCTGTTTCTCCTGGGGGCATTCTTTGAGGATATTTGGGTTGCCTCCGGAGCCGCAGTGTTTTGGGCTGCCGGAAGGTGGGTGATGTGCAGATCTTTTGTTTGTGGCTTTGGACACCTTTCAGCTCTGCATCCTTGGCCTTCAAAGCCTTCACTTTGACTTCTGCTTTGGCAGGGGCAGGAGCTTCCTTCTTTGCCTTTGGCGCCATCTTGTGAAAAGCTATCCCTTTCTTTTGAGAGTGAATTCTTGTGAAAGTATTAGAATATGGCATAAAGAATATATACCGTGCTTACATTTCTGCCGTGATGAAAAGGAAAAAAAAAAAATCTGCCTTTCTGTATCACTTGGAAGTGAGTTATATGTTTCTTTTCCTTTTTTTTCCCTCCCATTGTAAGTTTGTCTTCTTGACTCTGTAAGGTAGCCTAACAGAGCCTTCCTTTGTAAGGAAGCTATGGGAGCTTCCATTTGCTAAGTGTTTATTAATAACCAGGCTGCCAAAAGTTCTAAAAGGTCAGAGTGTAGTTAAGTTAGTTGAATATTTGTATTGAAAATTGATAATTGTATCTTAGCTACTCAGTACATTTTGTCTTTTTTTTTTTTCCTCCTTTCTGACAAGATTGTTTTATTTGACAGAAAACCTGATCGTGAGAGAGTTGAGGACTTTGATCATACGAGTCGAGAATCTAACTATTTCGGCCTCTCTCCAGAAGAGCGCAGAGAGAAGCAAGCTATAGAAGAATCTCGTTTACTTTATGAAATTCAGAACAGAGATGAACAGGCTTTCCCAGCCCTTTCCGTATGTATAAAAAGAGATTTTTAAAAGTTATTATTTAGAAGTCTCTCATAATATAGTTTCTGTATTAAACTGTGATTTCCAGTGTTAGACTAATAATTTTTAAACTGAAAGGTACCTTAAAGATCATGTAGTTCTCTCTCCTTTTCACATTTTACATGCAGAATATGAGGTCTAGAGATATTACTGAAATGTTGATAACATAGTGGAGGCAAGTAAATTCATTCGTTCACTTGTAGTGTTTAGGCTTATCTTTAGAACCAAAACACGTTTAATTTGCTAGCCAAAGTAAAATGCGGTAGTGGTCAAGATTCAATTAACCTACTATAAGTTACAGCTATAAAATCAGGAAACTTTCTTCACTTTATTGAACATACGAGGATCTGATGTATATAATGAGAGCTATCTTTTACATTGTTCAATATGTTGGTGGTGGTAGCATATACTGCTGTGGCTTAGTCCTTGTTCCGTGTGTCAGACACTGGCTGTGATGGATGCTTCTCTGATGAAATGTTCTCTCCTTTCAAGTTTCTTAACTCTTTTGGGGGGAGTCAGAAGGGAGAACTGTTCTCATGTAGAGTGAAGTATGTGCTGTTTGAGAGGGGTTCATTGGCAGCACAGGGGAGGGATTACTAATTCATTTTTAGGGCTGGGAGCCCCGTGTCTATGGTCTTTTAAGTGTTGGTTAGTGGTATCCAAATGGCCTATGACACGGAATGGTCATTAGATACTTTTTCTTAACAGTTGATTAAACAAAATGGAGTGTTATGGGAGGCTACCCAGTATAAAACATTAAGCCCAACACATTCGATTGTCTGTCGAATTTCTTAGAGGTCTGAGGAGGAGGTCAGGTGAAAACAGGTGATCTGGAATAGTAGTTCGAATCTATCGGAAGAAGTGCTCAGATCTTTATGTGAATAGGCATTGTGTGCCAAGTACATTTATCTCATGTCATATGTCATTTTTTCATAATGTTTGTATAAAAACAACTATAAATCATTTAAGCTTGTACTCATACCTTCACTTTTTTCAGTAAGTGAATGGTAAAAGTACAACTATTATAATATGGAGACAGATTGTGAAATATTTTGGTTGTTAAAATGGGGTCTTCATACTCATCATTTTTAGACTAGGGAGTCTGATTCTGTAATTGATTTGATAGTGACTTAGGTCTGTCTTCTAGAAAACTCTTGCTAGAGAGGACTGATATCTCCTTTTCAGCTGTGTAAAACATTTACTTACAGTGCTAGAATATGAACCTATGACCCTCAAGGATAACTTAGCTTAAAATCCTGACTTATTCCAGTCCTTTTGTTTTACTAGTTAGAAGACTGGATCTTGTGATTTGCTGACAGTCAGTAGCATTTCAATGATAAGAATCCTAGTACACTGTATCTGCTAGTTTGCACTTAGGCCCCCCGACCCTCCCCCAAAGACTATGGCTCTACAATGACTTCTTTGAAGATTGGTGCAGAGAATGCTATTTGTGCAAAGAATTTAAGTTACAAGGTGAAGAAGGTTTGGTTAGGGTGGCGTCCTGAAATAGGGGATATGAAAAGAAGTCTAACTGTTAATTAAGGCCTAAGGTCTGATTACCTAATGCTTTGACTCAGTAATGAGACTATTAATGTAGAATATATAGTTAAATGTGGACCCGAGAATCAATCTTTTGTAGTTTCAGAAGTATAAAAATATAGGGCTGTGAATTTTGAGAGTTTTAGTTACAAGTATGAAGAGTAAGATTAGTTACAGGACTTTCTTTTTCTTTTTTCTTTTTTTTTGGCGGCTGGCTGGTACAGGGATTGAACCCTGGGCCTTGGTGTTATCAGCACCATGCTCTAACCAACTGAGTTAAATGGGTACCCTAGTTACAGGACTTCTCTTCATGTATTTGTGGGTAATCTTTAACACAAAATTTTGGATTTTGTTCATTTTAAAGAGCTCATCAGTCAGTCAGTCAGCTTCTCAGAGTAGCAACCCAAGCAACCAGAGAAAATCATCACATGTAAGTGATAGAAAAGGAAGTAGGCGGAGAATGGATACAGAAGAACGAAAAGACAAAGGTATGTTATTTCACCGTTTGAAAGCAGATGCTAGAGATCTGTGCCTGGTTTAAAGTAATATATTGGGAAAAGAACACTTTAAATTGTTAAGCAGTTTATTGGATGTCACATATCTGACTGTTGTAGAGAAACATTACTTCGAGGTAAAACATTACATGTTATTCTAAAAATCACACTTTTTATTGACTAAACATGGTTCAAAAAGTACTTTTGGCTTTCTCTGTCTTCATAATTTGTTCTTCTGTGTTCAAACCTGACTGGTGGCCCATGCTGCCTTTTTAAAAATCTCTATCTATTCTAGACTCTTTCCATGGACTTATTCACTTGGATAAAAAACCTGAGCCAAGCACATTGGAGGTAAAAGTTTTAAACACTAATTGCATCTTTTGTTTTTTTACCTTAACATTGTGATAATACAGTAGGAAGAAATGGAAGAAGATGGAGCTGATTTTAACATTTATAAGTATGTTTTAGGGAAGTAGAAAAGCAAGGAAAAGATACCAGAGCTTGAGAAGTCACTCACAAATCATAACCATTTCTTCAAGGTACATTGGGATGCCCTATCTGAATTGTTGGAAAGTAGCTTTTACTCTCCATCACTCTAGAGTAGACGGAGAAGAGTCGGCTATTTGAAGCCATTCCCCCAGTAAAATCTATGCAGTAGTTTGATATGATAAAGATGTGCAGGCAAAGTTAACCTACCTATTGAAGACCAGATATAATTGGAAAAAATACTCAGTGATGAGAGGAGAGTTCTGTCAGGTGCAGGTAGGGTGAATTATAAAGGCAACCACCATTATTCCAGAATTACACCTTCTTTTTTTTTTTTTTGCTTTTAAAGAATGTTAGTGATAGTAAATGTGCAAGAGTTTCATCACCATCAAAGTCAAAGAAATTAGAGTGCCCATCTCCTGCAGAACAAGTAAGTACATTGTTACATTTGACATTAAATGTTCCATTCTCTGAGTTTTTTTGGTCTGTATTTGATCATTTAAAAACAGAAGACATCTATATAGGAAATGGGGAGAATTTATTCTAGCATCACAATTTGGGTGCAGTTATGATTTTTCTATAATTCTGATGTTAGTTCGGAATGTTCTCAGTATTTAGGGAATGTTATTTTCTGGACATAGAGAATGTTTTTCTGAATTGATTTTTAAAAAGTTTCTGTTTCGTTATCTTTATATTTATTACCTTGTGTTACCTTTTGTTGGCTTGTGGATTAGATTTTTGAAGGGAAACTGAATTTCTGTTTTATTTCAAGATTCTTTTTTGAAGAATTGTCTGCATCATTAACAATTATTTCATAGAAGGGAAGGCATGTACTGATGGAAGAGATTTGAAAAATATACATTTAAAAAACAAAACCACCAATTTATAAGTTTAATGATGAAGGAAACTGAATTCAGACAGACATTTTGGTTCTTGGTCTAATACAGGAGTAGAGAATGTTCAATGTTAAATGCCTTTCAATTAACACACTTCATATTGGTAAGAAAACTTATAGTTAAGTGGCATGTGTTTGTGTGAGTTTTTCTAAATAACTCATGAAATTCAAGATGATTTCAATAATTTTGCTCACTTGCTTTGAAAGCATTATGTTTCTAACTCTGCCAGTGACTTCTGTGACTTGTGTGTAGGCAACCTTCGGTTAGGATCAAATTTGTTTGCATATTATTTTTAGTTGCTGTGCTTTCTTTTGTTTCTAAGACAAGAAAGTGTGTAAAAGGCAGTACATCTGGTGGCTTAACATTAGTGTTTAAGTAAAATGAATTCTTGTCTTTTTCTACCTGCCCCCCATTCTTGAAGAAGCCAGCAGAACATGTGTCTTTGTCAAATCCAGCTCCCATTCTAGTTTCTCCAGAGGTACATCTAACTCCTGCGGTGCCTTCTTTACCAGCCACTGTGCCAGCCTGGCCAAGTGAACCTACAACTTTTGGACCAACAGGTTAGACAAAAATTGAGAAAATCCAACCAACCAACCAACAAAAGCCTTTCAAGTCAGAGACTTCAAATTCTAGAGTGAGAGTTGCTCAAAGCAGGGTTAGGGGTGTGGAATCTCACAGAGCTTTCTGTGACTCTGCTTTTTTCTCTGCTTCCAGCGTGGGAGGGATAAGTTCATTGGGGTGGTATTCATTTAAGGTATATCCTCATACTCCCAGGAGCATTATGTGTGAGCTGGTTATCTTCACTGGTTGCTTTGATTGCTTCCCTCATAGGCCAGCTTTTTGTGGCCCCCAGTTGAACCCTTTCCCAGGACCTGTGTCTTACACATGTTTGTAAGAGCTGCTGTTAGAAGATGTTGACTCAGAGCTTGTTTCTTGGGCTCATTATCCTCTATGTGTCTAGGAAAATCCTTGGTTGATGTAAAAAGTATTTCTTTAGATTGCTTGTCTACCTACACACCATTTTACCAGCTATAGTGTGGCATTCTTTATAGTTTAATGTAAACTTGTATTTGTAGAGGAGAATAATTTTCAGCTTTTTATAGTTTTTGTTTCCTTTTTCTCTTTTGTAGGTGTTCCTGCTCAAATTCCTGTTTTGTCAGTGACACAGACTCTGACCACTGGACCCGATTCTGCTGTATCCCAAGCTCATTTAGCACCCTCTCCAGTTCCTGTGTCAATACAGGCAGTTAACCAGCCCTTGATGCCTTTGCCTCAGACATTGAGCCTTTACCAAGACCCACTCTATCCTGGGTTTCCTTATAATGAAAAGGGAGATCGAGCCATTGCACCACCTTATTCACTGTGTCAGACCGGGGATGATTTGCCTAAAGGTGAGATCCTTCTCTAAGTTCAAGTTGATTCTGTTCATCAAATACAAACAGGTTTAGTGAGATTAAAAGATACAAGTAGAAAGATACAAGTAGAAATTAGAGGTCTGGTTTCTTAGTAAGCTGAAGGGAAGGGCTTAGGTGGGAAGTACAGTAGAGATTTGGCTATTGGCCATTCACTCCTGTTTCGGCTTAGTTTTATTAGGAAATGCTTTTTGTATATTTAGTAATGGCCCGTCTCCTTTTGCGTTTTTTCATAACCAGCCTTGAAACCATTTTGAATTAGGATCATGATAATTTCACTAACTAAATACGTAAACCTTACTGAATTTTCTCAACACTGGCTTGGTTTTTAGAACTACTCCTATTACTTTATTCATGAAAAAATTATGGAGAAGAGTGAATATAATATGTAGTAGCTGTTATTATAGTACTATACTTAATATTATTTTTGTTTAGAGAATTCTTTTTAAATTTGCTTGCCCCCTTTATTTTTAAGGAATTTACATCCCCCCATTTTTAGTTTGCAAAGTTTTACATCTGTAAAACTGATAAGAGTAGTGCAATATATGCTCTGTACCTGGATTTATGTGGATAATTTTGTTTCACTAGTCAGTGGTTTGATGTTCAAGTTGATAGGTAATGGGCTAATGGCATATGAATACCCCGACCAATCATGTTACTAATAAGTTATGTATATGTTGATTTTATCATTCTCTCTCAATATTTTCATTTCATGATTTTTAAAGTCTACAGAAAAGTTGAAATATAATGGGCACCTGAGTTTCCTTCTTACTTTTAATCAGATAAAAGTCTCAGCTTAAGCCATTTTGGGATTTAGATGTTAATATAGACAAAGCATATTGAACCTGTAATTACCCTATAGTAATAGCCTGTCTTTCGGTTATATTGCAGTTTTTATGTATGTTTTATATCACAGGCTAGAGAAAACAGTTCTAATAGGTAAAATTGTCTTTAGAACTACATAGTGATTGAGGATGATTAAAATAAAAGCTTTGTGGAATGTATAGTTTTAGTGAGTAATTATTTTATTTTCAGATAAGAACATTCTTCGGTTCTTCTTCAATCTTGGCGTGAAGGTATTTACATTTTATCATTTTAAAGTTATTTTATTAAAATTAATACTGTTTTAAATTATTACTCTTTAAATAATGTTAACTTTTATCCTGTCAGTAACCTCAGGTTTACTAAATCTCATTATTTTAAGATTTTTTAGTATTGTATAATTTGTTTTTGGTGGTGGTAGAAGCCCCAGTTTTTGCTGCTTTTTCCTCCTAATTGGAGATGGTTTAACCTGTGAGTATATTCAGAAAATGGCCACGCCCTTGGGCAGGCTCGTGGAAATGCCCTCACTGGCAAATGAGATGAAAGATCTAGGTTTGAAGTTCTCTGCCATCACTCTTTAACTGTGTAGCCCTGGGCAAGCCACTGAGTGTATCTGAGCCTAGCCTGCTTCGTTTATGGAATGGGGGTAATATTCTCAATATGACCTGCCTCAGCTGTTGAAAGGATCCAAAGAAATAACTTGTGAAAGTACTCCTCTATAAAGGTGGTATGGTTGTTCACTAGCACAGCAGAGATATTTCTTGAGAATTGGTCAATCTAGAAATAGCTTTTCTTAGAAAGGCTGCTGTAGAGCTTTAGGTACTTGTCAGTGCTGAGTTGTCTCCTGTCCTGAATTAGATTCTGTGGGTTCTAGACAGTTAAAATATGAAATGAAGAGTCCTATCCTAGCCTACTGACCTGTTGCATAAAAGACTTGATTAATTTTACCACTCATATATTTCCTAGTTTTATATTTAGTCATCTATATTCATTCCCTAGTTTTATATTTATCTAATTATAATGTGGGCTTTATCTAATTGGTTAGCCAGTTAATTAGCTGGCTATATTTTCTTCATATTTTGGTTTTTACCTGAACCTTTTCAGAAGAAGGTTTAGAGTATTTCATTTTCAGCATTACCCTTCTTGATTAAAGGTGTAACTTAATTCTTGCAGTAGGTGTGCTCTGGGGGCTACTAGAATTGTGGAGTCCTAACATTGGAGATCACCTTCTCCTATGCCAGTATTTTCCTGGTAAGAACAGGTCCAGACAGGTTAACTGGTCAGCATGGGGCCACATAGTGAGTTACTGGTAGAGCCAGAATGTAAATGCAGTTCTAGCTAACAGCCAGTGATTGAGGTACAGTCTCTTTATCAATCTTTTTGTCAGGACTTTGTATTGGTTTCACTATAGGAGCAAGAAATGGAATCTTAAAGCAGTGACTTGATTTTGTAAAATTCCTTTTTATGTTTGGTATCACAGTGATCTAATATTTGGACTGTAGATCAGGACTTTGTATTGGTTTCACTATAGGAGCAAGAAATGGAATCTTAAAGCAGTGGCTTGATTTTGTAAAATTCCTTTTTATGTTTGGTATCACAGTGATCTAATATTTGGACTGTAGATTATATGGTCTTTGCAGGCATGAGGAACTTATCTTGAACCCAGTACTTTTAGATAGATATCCACCCAAACCTCTTTTTCCCCCTCCCTTTTTGTTTATTTTACTGTTTTTGTGTTTCTTTTAGGCATATAGTTGTCCTATGTGGGCCCCACATTCTTACCTGTACCCTCTGCACCAGGCCTACCTGGCAGCCTGCAGGATGTACCCAAAGGTCCCTGTCCCTGTGTATCCTCATAATCCTTGGTTCCACGAAGCTCCTTCTGCTCAGAATGAAAGTGATTGTACCTGTACCGATGCACACTTTCCTATGCAGACTGAGGCCAGTGTTAATGGTCAAATGCCACAGGCAGAGATTGGACCGCCGGCATTTTCTGCACCTCTGGTTATCCCTCCATCTCAGGTGTCTGAAAGTCATGGACAGTTGTCTTACCAGGCTGATCTTGAATCTGAGAATCCTGGGCAGCTTCTTCATGCTGAATATGAAGAGTCACTAAGTAGCAAGAATATGTTCCCACATCCGTCCTTTGGACCTAATCCATTCTTAGGCCCAGTTCCCATTGCACCTCCTTTCTTTCCTCCTGTTTGGTATGGGTACCCTTTTCAAGGATTCATAGAAAGTCCAGTAATGAGGCAGAATATTGTCTTGCCCTCTGATGAAAAAGGAGAATTGGATCTGCCTCTGGAAAACCTGGATCTATCTAAAGAATGTGGTTCAGCAGCAGATGAGTTTCTGGAAGGCAGGGGTGAAGTTGCACATTCTGTCCCTGAAGAAAGTGTGAGCAATAAGCTTGAAGGCCGGGTGGAGCAATCGTCCCAGACACGGAAGGCAGATATGGCATTGGCTTCCATCCCTCCTGTAGCAGAAGGAAAGGCTCATCTTCCCAATCAGATTCTAAACAGAGAGAAAGAAGCTGTGCCTGTTGAACTTGAGTCTAAAAGGACCACTCAAAGTCTGAAAGAAAAACCAGAAAAAGTAAAAGATCCTAAGACTGCTGCTGAAGTGGTCAGCCCTGGGGCCAACTCTGTGGATAGCAGAGTGCAAAGACCAAAAGAAGAGAGTTCAGAAGATGAAAGTGAAGTGTCTAATATTCTGAGAAGTGGTAGATCCAAGCAGTTCTATAATCAGACTTACGGAGGCAGGAAGTACAAAAGTGATTGGGGCTATTCTGGTAGGGGTGGATATCAACATGTGAGAGGTGAGGAGTCCTGGAAAGGGCAGCCAAGCAGAAGCCGGGATGAAGGTTATCAGTACCATCGAAATGTCAGAGGACGACCATATAGGGGAGATAGGAGGAGATCAGGGATGGGTGATGGCCATAGGGGACAACACACTTGATAGTTGTTGCTAGAGTATTTAGAGCAGAAATCCTTTCTTAGGTGAATGTTCCTGAAGGCTTTAAAAAAAACACATTAAAATAAAAACCCAAATTGGAACTATTTCCTCCCCTCCCCCTTGACCCTCACTCTCATTTTGGACATGAAATCAAGGGGGGAGGCAAATTCCTGGCATTGCCATTTTTCTTTATTCAAAATCTGATTTATTTATCGGGTGACGGCTCCCGTAAGAAGTAGAAAATAAGTTTGTTAAAGTATTTTTTATAAACAGCTTAGTATAATTAGTGTTTGTTCTTTTTCCTTGTATAAGTTTGACTTCAAGCATTGGAAAATATATGCTTTATAGTGTTTACTAAAGTGACAAGAAAATACACCATTTGACACACTATAGATTCCAAAATGTAACATTGCACCAAATAGAAATGTATATTTTATTATGCAATGCCTTAGTCATAAACTGGGCTCAAACAATTCTCAGCCTAAAACACTGTCGTCTTTTAAAATGCTTCCAACCCAAAGGCCTTTCATCTCAATATCTGTCAAACTTGAATAATGTCTTCTCTTTAATATTACACATAAGGCAGCCTATTAACCTGTGTCTTAGTAATGTTGTATATAGTTCTTTTAATATTCATAGGGTATATTTTTGAATTTTGGTGAGTATTTGTTTAACTTGAGATCGCATACAAGAATAGATGTTTAAGAAATAGTAGGAAATCCAATGAAATGGCTGTTTCCACCAAGAATTCTTAGCACTGGTGTAAATATCATGGTGCCTACTCGAAAGAAATGTAGATGCTATGCATTTTGAAAATAATCTGCATCTGTTAAAACTGCAGAAGTTTTTTAATGCCACTTTAACACTAATGCACTGACAGATTCTAAATATTTTGTGAGAAGAAATGTTAAAAATTTTTAGCTTGACAGGTTTCTAGAGAGAGTTACTGTGTTTTGTTTTCCTCCTTGCACCATTGGTTATGTGTATTACTTTACGTTTGCATGTTCAACTCGTCATGGCTGGAACTATTAGAAAAAAATAAGATGATTGTGACTTCTAGTTCTTTTCTAGAGGATGCTGCTAGAAAATGGTTTTGCTTTGTATTTTATAAGTTTGTTATTGTTAGGTAACATGTCTTTGATCCTGCTTCCTTCCAATGTTTGCAGTATTCACTAGAGGTTCCCTTTGCATGTTGCACTCTGTTCTCATTTGGAGATTGGACTCTGAATTAACACAGTATTCATTCATCTGTGTTACTTTGTAAAAATAACTGTAGCTTATATTTCTTATTTGTACATACCAATGTGAAAATCTGCCCTTAATGTCAAGATTATGTTTTGATCAGGAAGTTTGAGTGCTATGCAAATAATAGTAATTTCTCTTTGCATGCCATGTGTACACAATATATCTAGCCAAAAATAGATGTGGTGGTTTTTTTCTTTTCTTTTTTTTTAAAGCAAATTACTTTAAATGCAAATACAATTCACTTGAATTTGACAAACTGAAGCAGATGAGTTTTCTGGGTTCTCTGATAACCTACAGGAATGTTTGGATGCCAGCTAGGCTCAGTGAGATCTCCACTGTACTGTAATAATGGTTATTTATCTTTGTGCTATTTTAATTACCTAATGTCTGTTTAACTGCTGATTTGAGTAGTAATTAGCATTTAGATAATTTTGTAACATAGGATTTTAGAGAGCACTTTGAAAGATAACATTATGATGGTGCTAGGTAAAAACTTATAAAGACTGGGATGGTTTTGTGGAAAGGAAAATTCTTGAGAGAACCTGTTGAAAGGAATTTCTGTTGTCACCTTCTAAGCTAGATAAGTTGTTGAAGGTACTGCTTAAGCCATTTTTTTCTTAATATCAATTGCTGAATTATCGAATGAGAAGATTAGAGGGTCCTCCATTTTCAGCCCATACTTTTTTATGTAGGATTAACTTACCTGATAAATTTTATAAAAATCACATTTTGATATAAATAACAGATTTAAAGTTCAATATAAGTTTGATCTCAGGAGTCCAAAAGAAATTGCTATTTCCATTGTCCTTCATTTTATTGACTGGCGTTTCGTCTCAGTTTCTGGAACAGAAGATTGGATAGGAAAGCATACTATTCATTTCTTTACCTCAACTGAGAAACAGAATACTCTATAGCTCCTGAAAGAAACACTGATTTGGTTCCTGTTTCCCATGTGTCAACTCCAGGGCATAATGGAAACAGTGCTGAAAGAGAATTTTAGTGGATGGTACTATTCTCAGTGAACTCTGGAATAAAAGAACTCTGACTTTTGATAGTTTAAAAATTATCAATCTTTGCATGAAGGTCAGTTTTGTTTTTTTCCTTTAGGTTTGCTTTAAAATGTATAAGTCCAGGGGATTTTGCCTTATGCTGAGGTCAAACTAGGGCCAGGCAAGCTTTTTGTCTTCCTTTAACTGTATGTCATACTGTATGTTGACAAATGTAATATTTCTATATGAGAAAGGAAGCAAAAGTATAGAACTCTAAGAATCATTTGTATTTTGAGTTGGAAATTATGAAAGTTCACCGTATTACAATCACACACATTTTGAAGAACAAATGTTTAGACTGACCAAAGCTCTCTTGTTCTTTTTTTAGTTAGGTGCAAAAGCTGAGCTTGATTCTATCCTCCTTTCCTTTTAGTAGTATGTATCTCTTCTTCAGGTTCCTCTCCTCTTGGATAAATCTTCAACTCTTGTCCCATGTGTTCCTTGGCAACAGGATGCTGGCATCTGTGTAGTCCTCATGCTGTTTACTAGTAACCCACAAGTTCATTTTCATGCAGACCTAAACTCAGACCTTGCCTTGACCTGGCAGGTTTCCCAAACCATAATGCGGATACAGCTTATTTGATGCAAACTCTATTTTCTTGCAGTGTGTTGTACCCTTTGTGACTCAAGGTTGAGTTAAAATGCCTGTGAACTGCAAACTTGATTGACTTGGTGCAATAAAGTTCCTTTCTAACCAGACTGGTTTAGAAAACATTCAGCCATCCTACAAACTAGCAATATTTATTTTTGCCTCATTTGTTTTACCTACAGTTTTAGATGAGGTAAACTTTTTGTCTTTCACTTTATGGGTACTAAGCAAGGTCCATTCTAAGTGTAGCTGAAGAGAATGCATATTTGGCTACACTGTTTCTGTTTACTGTATTTTGTTCCCTATATTATATCTAAATGCTATTTTTGTTTAAAATTATAATGGCTCACTTTCCAGTATGTCAATTTCAAAGAACTAAGGTTTTGCTACTAGTGTCAGACATTTACTCTCCCATTAATTGGGATTTTTTTTTAAGAGATTTTTTTTTCTCCCCTGAAATACAAGTTTTAGAAAATCCTATAAGAGGGGTGGGTGCATGTCTTAATGCTGGGAAACAGCAACTTTAGGGTTGAATTTACTTGAATGGATTAAAAATTGCATTGTTACAGAGTTAGAAAAAGTTTATGTATGAAAATGATAATAGCCTTACACTGAGTACAAATAATACTTAAAAGCATGTGAAGATGTGATCATTTGTGATGTTACATGTAAAAAAAAAAGTATATATACATATCTTTTGAAGTGTTGGAAAGGAAAATAGTACTTTATATACTTTATCATATCACTTTTTGTAAGTGTTGAATATATTCCTGTTTATTTTTCTATGTTCTGTTTTGTAGCCTTAAGAAGTGTTTCAAACATATCTGAATGTATAAAATAAGAGTAAATGCCCTACATGGTGTGATGCTGCATTATATAAAAAACTGTGTGCATATATTAAATTTTGTCTCTTGATTCTGCTTGTGATTCTTTGGTTACAGGGTTAAACAAATTTCCATGGTATTTTTCCAGCCAAAAGAGAATTCCAGTATGGGCAACTAAAAACCCATGTTTATTTTCCCTACTATATATACGTAATGAATCTGAGAAGAAGGCCAAATTATTTGCCTAATAAGGTTGTTCTACTAGTAAGTGGTAGAATTTGGGTTTTATGGCTAGTGCTATCATTTTTTCAGTAATCACCAAATGAAATGGGAATGGGCAGAATGTCTAAGAATAATTTAATTTTTAGTTAGTATTCAGTAACAATGCTGTCTGAAGAAAAATGAAGCAAATTGAAAATTTTAAAAACAAAGCTATCAAGTATACTTATATATTTCTCACTTGTACATACCATTGTGAAAATCTACCCTTTTTAAAAATATTGAGATTACCTTTTGATCAGGAAGTCTGAGTGCTATGCAAATAATATAGTAGTAATTTGTCTTTGCATGCCACATGTAATATACCTAACTAGAAGTAGATGTGGCTTTTTTTTTTAAAGCAAATTTCTTTAAAAGCAAATACAATTCACTTGGGTTTGACAGACTGAAGCAGGTGAGTTTTCTGGGTTCTCTGATAACCTGTAAGAATGTTTGGATGCCAGCTAGGCTCAGTGAATTTCTTATAAATAGGGGAGATGTAGGCTTAGGCACATGCAGGGTTGGGAGCTGGAGTGAACACATTTGCATTAAAGCAAGGATCACCTCAGTAAAATAGCAATAATAAAAATTTCCTACAGATAAAGACTCTTGACCTGGGTTCCAGGTTCTTGAAAACAAAACTGCACTGAAAATGTTAAACCATGTACATTTAGGTTTGAGGTCCAGGAATCTGCAAACTAAGAAAAATGAAGAGTGGCTCCAAACAGGTAACACAGATGTGTCATCTGGCAGAAGGCAAACGGAAAGCCTTTGGAAGGACACCTCAGGCAATGCGCTAACAGTACTTGGTGGCAAGCAACAGAAAACCAGTTTGACTTACAGTAGCTTAAACAAATAGGGATTTATTTCTTCCATAAGAAAATTGGAGGGAAGTGGCTGTTGGCAGTTGTACAGTGTTTGATGTGATGACTAGCATCCTTGTAGCTTTCCTGGCATTTCCCTCATATATATCACCTTATGGGCACAGAATGCTTGCTCCATATATCACATCCACAAGAAACTACCAGATACACATCTCATTTCATTATGAAAGGAAGAGGATTTCCAGAAATGCCCCAAGAGACTTCTTTCAACTTACTGGCCAGAACTGGGTCACATGGCCCACCTAACAGCAAGAGAGACTAGGAAAATATGGAAGAAGATTGTTATGCCTGTCTTAGACCAATTAGGATCAACCACCTGGGGCTGGGCACACTAATTTACCCAAACAAATTAGTAAAGGAGGTGGTGATGAGTACAGAGTTGGGAAGAAATGGGGTTATGTGCCACATTAAATCTGAGAATTTGCAGATACAGATACAGCCTCATGAACACCACCTCACAAATCAAAATGCGCAAAGAATCCAACAACAGCAAGAGTTTAGGCCTGCAAGAATTAAGTGGACAGCCTATAAATGTTTCTGAAAATTAAAAGAAAGGAAGATATAGAAGTGTAAGCTTCTTAACTATTGTGATAATTCTTGCTGCTTCTCTAACTGGACTTGCCTTGTCTCTTTTCAGTTCCTTCTAGCATGTAAAAACCTCTACTTTAAATCTTGGAGGCACAGAAAGCCCACTGCAATCTTCTGTATTCATCCTTTCCTGCATCTCTTGAATACCCATGCTCATTTTTGCCTCTGACCTGCTTTACGTGGATCTCATATCCTTACAGCACTTCTGAGACTGGTGCTATTACTTTTTCCTGGGAGCTCCTTCCCTTACAGTCCTTTCTGACTCCAGCCCAGAACAATGACTTTCTCTTGTGAACCAGGGTGCTCACAATATGCAGGCACTGGGTTAAGGGATTAACATACACGTGTCTAAGTATGTTGATGAACATTAATGAAATTATATACTCAAGTAGTTTTTCTGGTCTTGTCTGTGCCACGAAGGTTCATTCCTTCAATATATTAGGCCCACTACCTGCCGGCCACCACGCTAAACGCTGAGTGGTAAGACGGATACAGGACTGGATTGGTTAACTTCTATTGCAGAAAATAGTCATAGTATCAGTACACTGCCTTTTTAAAGACTGCTCTATACTAGGTGAACACAGTAAATACAAATTATCTCTAAATGACGATTTAAAAACTTCAATGACTTATATAGGTGATTCATGCAAAATATAAAATTCAAAAGGCATTATGTATCTCCTTTCCTTCCCTATTAACCAAGTTGTCCTTCCCAAAAGCAGTCTGTTGAGTATCCCTACGCATATTTTAATATTTTGTATATTTTCACATAAATGGTTGTGTATATAATGTATATAAACTGTTACACACCTTGCTTTTTTACCTAGTATTTTAGACTTTCTAATCAGTTCACATCTAGTAGTGTCATTCTTTTTAAAACGGCTAACATTGCTTCTCGGCCTTTTGGCTAAGATCAAGTGTAAAACAGCTAACATCTGCATTGATGGTATATATTTAATTTGTGTTGGTAATACTGATTTTATAGACAAAACCCTTTTCTTGTGTTAGCAATTGTAGGCCTTTCTATTGCTATACAAAATTAAAGTAACATTTAAATTCATATTTTTAATATTTCATTTACCTGAGAAATGTTACCTTATAATTAGTATATATTTTGTCATGAACAATAAGTAGAAGAACTATGCTATTATATCACAAGCATCTTCTTTAGGACAGAATATGGAATCAGTAAATAAAAACAGCTTTTGTCTTATTTTATTCAATATATTTGAAATAATCATTCAGAAATTTAACTTATCCTTAAAAATAGGCACTACTTATTTTAATGTAATCCCAATATGTACAAAATAAACCCTTTACATATTCATACTTAGGTAAGTGCAAAGAAAAGAGCATGAAAGAATATAATTATTATTATTATTATTTTTTTGTCTTTTTTTGTGACCGGCAACGGATCGCAACCCTCAGTGTCGTGCCCGTACCGGACCGGGACCGGCAACGGGATCGCAACCCTTGGTGTTGCCCCCGCTCCCCGCTCAGCCAGTGAGCGGGAACCGGTCTGTATGTGGGATCCGAACCCTCGGCGGGAGCGCCGCCGCGCTTCCCAAGCGGCGCACTGTAGCAGTGCGCCACCGGGCCGGCCCCAAAGAATATAATTATTAAACTCAAACACTAGTAACCTTTGGAAAGGTAATGAAGGGAGATCATTTTTTTACTCCATATACTTCTGGATATTTCTGTTTTCCACAACAAACATATATTTATGGATTAATCACAAATTATTTTTTTAGAAGGCCTAATGGGTTCATTAAACTGTTCTTTCTGTCCACTGTTTGCTTATTAACCCTTTTAAGGAGCTCTAAGTCTGTCAAATAATTTCTAATTTTCCCCTTTATTTTGCTTGCCCCATTAATTTGTTTAGTAAACCCTCTTCCTCACTAATAACTTAATTCCAGTTCAGTGCATTAGTAAGAAATACAATTAAAGTGGTTTCAGGCTGCAGGTATCTCGTTCAAATTCAGGAACTAAAAGAAATTGGATGAGTATAACTCTTACTACACACTGTCCAAAACTAAAAAAAAAAGGTTAGATAATGTCCTCTATATCCAAACTTAATGAGTATATGTGGTTCCAAGGAGTACTACTCTGTATTGCTATCTGGAGACTATTGCATTAACATTGTCTTAGGAAAGTGTTTTACAATCCTTGGCCGCTCATAAGAAAAATCTGTGGAGGTTTAGAAAATACACAGATGCTTTACACACCAACTCTAAAGATTTTGAGTCTAGTTTTAAGGGAAGCAGATATTCTTTAGAAATGCTTTTTCCTAAATCTTGATTAGTGATTATATAAACGTATGGTTGAAAAATGACATTACCTTGAGAATAACTACAGTAGAATCTTACAGAATGTAAAACCTGAAAAATTCATAGTAAAGTTAGGTTTTTTTCGCGTGGGTGGAAGACATTAAAATGATTTTTGATAAAGATGTTCAAAAGCACCAAAAACAATTTAAATACAATGCTTAAGTTGGTAACAAATACCTATTTTCTTTTATTTTTTTTTGTCTTTTGTCTTTTTCCGTGTCCGGCAACGGATCGCAACCCTCAGTGTTGCCCCCATACCGGACTGGGGACCGGCAACGGGATTGCAACCCTCGGCGTTGCTCCCGCGCCTCGCTCAGCCAGTGAGCGGGAACCGGTCTGTATGTGGGATCCGAACCCTTGGGCGGGAGCGCCGCCACGCTTCCCAAGCAGTGCACTATCCAGTGCGCCACCAGGCCGGCCCCAAATACCTATTTTCTGACAGTGGTGTTTGATAGTATGTATATGAATCTTCCTTGGAAATCATACACTGATAATATAGTGCAAAGACTAAAAACAAATAACAAATATAATCCTGATGTTTATTTATCAAATATCATCAGTGGAGTCTTCGACTGGCTTTTAAAATAAGGGCAGTTTCATTTTACTAGCATACTTTGCAAATCAGGTAAGTACAGAAACCTGTTTTAAGATTTTTAAAATGGGGCAACACTGGCCAGCATTTGGTACATCAATATAATACATCTATTGAAAATCTTCCCATACATCATGAAAACATGGAGGTAATTTGTATAGCTTGAAATGTCTTCATAATATTATGATCAGAAAAAGGGCCTTATCATTAAGAACAGAAAAATGCATTTTCTGTGTTCAGACTACAGTTCACAACACAACTGGCTTTTGATGTTACATTAAGTAAATTATACTTCAAACTCCAGAGTATGTGGGGCATAAAACCTGGTTGAAGTTTTATATGACAAAAATCCTGGTAAATGCTTCTTTTTAATAAATGGCTTATTGATACTCTCAGATTCAGTCTAATCATCCAAGAAAAAGTAGTTTCCACTCTTCTTTTGTTCTACATCCTAAAAAACAAATAGAAAAGCAACAAAAATCAGCAACATCATTCTCCTATACATAGCAGGTAGACTTTCATCCAGGATGTTACTGAGTGATGTTTACAATAGTGTCCATACAACCTCCTTTGCACCATCTGCTTCTGGATATTCCTGGGTCCAGTACTCAAAGTGAAGATTACAACCTCTGCCCCCCATTTCTACTACTAGAACAGCTCACTTGTACCAACTCAAGCTCTCTACATAAGATGCCTTACATACATAAAATTTTGCTATGTATTATTTCTGGGAAAACTATTAAATTCCATTTTCTTACATACATAAAATTTTGCTATGTATTATTTCTGGGAAAACTATTAAATTCCATTTTCATCACTTCAACTTCAAGCTCTTGGCCCAAAAGGTTGCATACTGTCTGTCTGAGAACTGCCACAAGATATGTATAAAAACAGTTTTTCCTGGTGCTGTTTACAGACTGCCCAGGAACAATCCAGCTCTGTTTGCCCAGCTTACTAAGATGAGTGGGCATAGAGAAGTGACTAATAGGTGCACCTGGGGACTGAACTATGAGTCTACACAAGGAAATGACAATATAAAATGCTTCAGAAGAAATTCTTGTCCTCTTTTTTTGCTTAATATGCTTTTCAGAACTGAGAAAACACCTCAGTTTTATATCAGAACTTGTCATTTCTTTATCTTGGCAATTATTTTTTCTTATCAATCATTTATAAACAAAATATATAGTAAAGGCTAAAGGCATCCAGACATAGTGTTAGGTGCTTAGAATACAGTGATGTGCAAAATGACTTTGCCTCTGGTGCTCCAAGAGCTCATGGTTTAGTAGTAAAGCTAGGACTACAAACATGAAAATATATGGTACAGCAGAGATATGAATAACATACTTTTAAGACTTTTAAGTGTTAAGGATGATGGACACAGGGCGATGAAATGTAAACAACATTTTAAGTAGGCACTGCAGGTGATACTAAAAGCAGTACAAATGCTTTTACATTTCATTCACTTTTGAGTAACAAAGAGTTTTTTTGCTTTCTAAAAATACTGTATTTCACCAACTAAAATCAAGTGGTAGGGTTCACAATTACTTTATGTATTACAAAGACAGAAAAACACAGCCAATTAAGCTGACAAAATGTTTTTCCATTGTTTAGAATTGATGCTCATTGAAGGAGCTTGTTTAGACTTACAAAATGCACGTTTTAACCATGTATTGAAAAACATGAAAAAAGTGAGAAAATGGTTAAGGTATTCTTAAAAACTTCATTTCAGTAGTGAATCTAATTTTTTAAAAGTCACTTAAAATAGCAATTAACATAGGTAGTACAACAGTGGGTACAACTCGTAGATAACATGAACAGCTCTGCCTGAGTCCATACATCATGATGACATCAGGTATTAAAATAAAAAAAGTTGACTGAGAACTAATGAAATATCATATTGGTTTTTAAAGAAACAGGTTTTCAATTACTTATAATGAGATAGAAGTTATCTATGATGTAAGATTAATTTTCCACATACCTTAATAGAATTGAGTTTGTTTATTCGTGGCCTATAGTTGTTTGGATCTCTTCTGAATGTAATTTCAAGCTGAGACAAAAATTTATTCATGCCAGCCAAAAGGGTTTGAGGACTAACAGGAAAAAAGATCAATCAATTTTGAGTAAATTTTATCACCAAAATGCTAACTACTTTTTGGGATGAAGAGCATTAAGAATCACTCTTCCCTCTAATTCCCCAATTATAAATCATCTGGGTAATAGTATAATCACAGCATATAAGTCCTAAGTTCAGAAATAACTGCCCAAACTATATAGTTTGCTTGGCTATAATATTTTTTTTGCAAACCAAACACAGTTTAACCTGTATTTCTGATCTGGAAAAAAAGACATTTAAGTAATACTTTAGAAAAACAAAAGATCATTAATAAGATTACAGACTCTCAAATCTGACATTTTTAGGGGAGAAGAGAATTTAACAACAAAAAAGTAATATTTACACTAAGAATTTGACTTTTGGGGGAATACGTACTTCTACACTGTGGTTTTCAGTAATAACTCATTTTTAAATTCCTTTATTCATCTTTTTCACCCAAAACAGTTCTTAAGTCATGCCAAATCACAACATATATAAGTATTTCCGCAAACTTTTTGAAGTACCCTTGTACATGTGGAATATTTTAAGCATTTTGTAAATAAAAGGGAGGATAGGATCATTATGTGAGTAAATAAGCTTTATATATTCTAAGAAATTTCCCTAACTCTTCGAGAAATATATAATTCTCAATAATTGACAAACTTAAAATGAAAACAAAGGAATTCTGGGAAGAAGCATAGTACTTTTATTTCTTGGATGACTTATTCAAACAGCAGCTCCATTCCTCCTTTTCCAATACCAGAAAACATTATGCTGGAACTACATGAAATTCCTGTTTTTATAGTCAAAAACATTTGAATATCAGTAATTTCAAACAGTTCAAACTAATACAGGTTTTAGTACTGAAGGAAAGGAATTTCTCATAATCCGATTTGAATGTTGTTAGGCTTCTTACAAGTGCTCCCAATCAAGCTAATGAGTAAAAATGATAGGAAAAAGGTGAAATCATGTTACTTCTGTTAGAGATCAACTCCAGATATTTGGGATCTACTGTGAGCTCAACCACCACCATTATCAGTGGGGTAAATCATGTAACTTCTTTCGATATTGTTTTCTTTTTCTGTCATGTATGAAATGAATAGTTTTCAAGGAAATATTTATAAAAACAAAATTCTTTTTTGGAAATCCAGATAATGAAGCAAACAAAAAGTTCAGCTGAAAGAAAAGGTGAGGGGTGCCCAGAGCTCTGTATGCTTACTCTCCTGGTTCAGGAATTCCATACTACAGTCTGAAAACTACTAAACAACGATGGTCTCATCCAGTATTCATTATGAATAATCTCGGGAGTCATGGAATGAGGTCTAGAACTTTTGGCTATCTCATTTTTTAAAAATTAAAGTGATATACCTTAATGTTTATAAACTTATTTGAAAATTTAAAATGTAATAATTTTCTAATTGTTAGAACTTATAATTAGCTTTGAACATTTTAAAAAGTAATTTTACCTGTTTGCAACTGTGTTCTTAGATGGAATGCCATCAAAAACAATGACCCGATCTGCTAGATAGGTGGCCATGATGAAGTCATGTTCCACAACAAAAGCTGTCTTCTTTGCATGGAGTATGAAACTAAAACACAACGATTTTGAAATCTCTTATAACTTCATATCATAAAACATTCAAATGTTAAATTAAGCACACTTGTATGCCTATACGTACACATAATCAAAAGTAATTTATAAGCAAGACATTTACCGTTTGACAACCCGAGCTGCCATTAGTCTCTGCTCAGAATCCAAATATGCAGATGGTTCATCAATTAAATAGACATCGGCAGGTTTGCCCAAACAAAGAGCTAAAGCTACTCGCTGCAGTTCACCACCAGATAATGTCTGCACCTAATTGGAGAAATTAGCAAACCATGTAAAGACACCTAAAGTTTAAGATGATAAAGTTTAAAAAATAAGTAAAAATAATTATGTTAGAGTACCTCCTGATCAATGATGTTTTCAATTTGCAGAGGCTTCATTACATCAGTCACAAATTGTGGATGAGTATAAGCATCTCTTATTTTTTCATGTAGTAACTGGCGAACACTTCCCTTTTTTAATGGAAAAAAAAAAACCCAACTAAATAACAAAAATTTCAGTACAGAACTTTTCTATTTATGAATCTTGACAAAGTTAAGCTCCAGAGCAAAACTATATCAATTTGCCACCAATATATATCCATCGTATTTTTTTTTTTTGTCTTTTGTCTTTTTCCGTGTCTGGCAACAGATCGCAACCCTCAGTGTTGCCCCCATACGGGACCGGGGACCGGCAATGGGACTGCAACCCTCGGTGCCGCTCCCGCGCCTCGCTCAGCCAGTGAGTGGGAACCGGTCTGTATGTGGGATCCGAACCCTCGGTCGGGAGCGCCGCCGCGCTTCCCAAGAGGCGCACTATCCAGTGTGCCACAGGGCCGGCCCTATCCATCGTATTTTTAATGCTTGTCTCTAATCTATGGCAAGTTTAGAGACTTTCTATTTAAAACCCATCATGTCCAACAAATAAAAAAGCAACAATAATAATCTTAAGACTTGAAAGCAAATGATGAATGTTTCAGCGGAGAAATCATTTGAGAGTAGGAATAATTCTGAAGGTCAAAGTGAATATCAAGTAACCTCAGGCAATCAGTAAGAGATAACACAAAATGCATGATAATATGCTAGAGATAAATCCTAAGATGCCTTCTGCTTGCTATTTCAGGATAGAGCTGAGTTTGAGAACTTAAAAGGTAAGCTTACAGAAAGTATCAATGATAAAATTTTTATTGTAAGCTAAGTGGTATCAGACATAAAGTGAGTGTTGAGATACTGAATGTAAATATTGTAGTTAAGTAGTTCATTATAACAACCTGCAAAAGTCAAAGGAGTTGTTAACTTTGGCATGTTTTCAAGTTTTACCCATATTGTAGTATTTATCAGTATTTCATTTCTTTTTATGGCTGAATAACCTTAAATTGTATGGTTTTTATCACATTCCGTTTATCGACTTATCAGCTTATAGAAATTTGGGTTGACTCCACATTTTGGAATAATGTTGCTATCACCATTTATTTGTATGCAAGTTTTTGTGTTGAGATATGTCTTCACTGCTCTCAGGTATATGAGGGGTCTTTGAAGAGTTCGTGGAAAATGCATATTATGAAAAAATTATGCATGAATTTCAAAATTGTTTTGCAGCAAAATAAACTTGTAGTAACTTTTTATAACATATCTGAACAGGATCTAGTTCAATGCACTAAGAAGGTTAAGATGGTTTGAAAAGAACCCCTATCGGAGCAACATGAATTCTGCTAAAATTGAAAGAACAAACATCAAATTGATTGTGAAGCTTGGGTAGAAGAATGGTGAAATCACTGATATTTTACAAAAAGTTTATGGGACAATGCCCTAAAGAAGTCAGCAGTTTGCCAATGGGTAACTCTTTTTAAGAAGGGACAATGAAGATGAAGCCCGCAGCAGCACACCATCTACATCAATTTGTGAGGAAAAAATTAATCTTGTTCATGCCCTACTTGAGGAGGACCAATGATTTACAGCAGAAACAACAGCCAACACCCACAGACATCTCAATTGGTTCAGCTTACACAATTCTGACTGAAAAATTAAAGTTGAGCAAAGTTTCTCCTCAATGGGTGCCAAAACTGTTGTACCCAGATCAGCTGCAGACAAGAGCAGAGCTTTGAATGGAAATTTTGAGCAAGTGGGATCAAGATCCTGAAGCATTTCTTTGAAGAATTGTAACAGAAGATGAAACATGGCTTTACCAGTATGTTCCTGAAGACAAAGCACAAAGTAATGGCTACCAAGAGGTGGAAGTGGTACAGTCAAAGCAATATCAGACAGATCAAGAGCAAAAGTCATGACAGTTTTTTGCGATGCTTAAGGTGTTTTTGCTTGTTGACTTTCTGGAGAGCCAAAGAATGATAACATCTGCTTATTATAAGTGTTTTGAGAGAGTTAGCCAAAGCTTTAGCAGAAAGACACCTGGGAAATCTTCACCAGAGAGTCCATCTCTACCACAACAATACTTTTGCTCACTTCTCTTATCTTTGGGGCAATGTTGTGAGAGTTCTGATGGGAAATCATTAGGTACAACCTTAAAGTCCTGATTTGGCTTCTCTGACTTTTGTTTCCTAACCTTAAAAAATCTTTTAAAGAGCACCCATTTTTCTTCAGTTAATAATGCACAAAAGACTGCATTGACATGGTTAAATTATTAAAGGAACTTAGTTCTTTAGGGATGGATTAAATGGCTGGTATCATCACTAAAGTGTCTTGAACTTGATGGAGCTTATGTTGGGAAATAAAGTTTGTAATTTTTATCTTTTAATTCCATTATTTTTATCTTTTAATTCCATTTTGAAGTCACCTCCTATACCTAGGAATGGAAGAGCTAGTTCTTATGGTAACTATGTTTAATCATACGAGGAACTGCCAGATTGTTTTTCAGAATGGCTAAACCATTTTACATTTCCACCAGCAATGCATGAGATTCCAATTTCTTTACATCCTCACCAACATTTGTGCTTTTGATTTTGGTCATACGAATGGGTATGAATTAATATCTGTGATTTTGACTGCATTTCTCTCATGATTAATGACACTGGGCATCTTTTCATGTGCTTACTGACCATCTGTATATTTTCTTTTGGTAAATGTCATTTTTGGGGGGAAACAGACATTTGGCCATTTTTAAATTGAGTCGTAAGAGTTCTTTATATATTCTGCATACAAGTCCCTTATTAGATATATGATGCACAAATATTTTCTCCCATCTTGTGGGTGGACTTTTCACTTTCTTGATGATGTCATTTGTAGCATAAAATACATTACATTTTTAGAAGTTTATTTTAGAAAAAGATAGCAGATTTTAAAAGCATTTTCCTAGTAGTGGAAATGAATCAAGGACAATGGTCTTAGTATCTTTGTGGGCCACTTTCAGTAAAACTGTACAGAATGTAATTTGGTGAAGAATTTTAATACAGTAAGAGATAAAGCTATAGGAACATATAAAAAAAATTAATAACCAAATATAAGAATAACAACTCACAGTTGACTTAGGACTGATTTTCTGTGGCTTATAACTGACATTTAGAACCGGCACTTCTCCTGCAAAATAACGCAAATACATAAAACACTAAAAACTACCCAGATCTTAAGGTTGACTGTGTAGAACAGAATAAGAAGAATCAAATGTTTACAACAGTACCTCCTTCATCAGGTTTAAGTCTTCCAGCAAGCATTCTGATGAATGTTGTTTTACCTGTACCTGGCAACACAACATAGAACAAATTGACCTGAAAGATGCTTCACATTTCGAGTAAATCACTGTCTTATTTGGTTTTAACTGAGAAATTTTTCTTAAAGACATACACTGACAGTATTGAATTCTGAAGGTTATATAGAAAAATTCTTAATCTTTCATGATTCACCTCTCAAGTATCATTCTAAGCTAATAAGGAGGAATAAACACTAGTCAAAGCTTATAATGACTATTTTAATAAACGGTAGGTCTATACAATTTAAGCCTTGGGATAGTTAAAAAGACTTATTTAGCTAAGTTATCAATGCACACTATTTATTAAGATAGTATAGGCTGTTTTATGATAAATACCATCATTTTAAAGTTCACTTACATAAAATATTTAAATTAATTGCAACTCAATCCAAAATTGCTGTTAACTAAAGACTAAATACATTGTAACAATCCTTATACAAAGCTTTTCTTCTATAGTTTTGTAAACTGTAAGATTACAGTTCAAATCACTTATTTTTAAATTATGAAAGCAATATCAGATAAATAGTAGTCAAATTCATCTTTTAGCTATTACTTATGATGACAGTGTAATAAAAATGCTGGTAATACAACTATAAGGCAGATTACTTTGAATTTAAAATAAGAAAAATTCCAAATGGAGGTGTATAAGAAAGTATATTGTTTCTGGATTAGCAATTTATCCTTTCTTTCCTAGTCAGTTTGCAAGATGAATAACTGCCTTATTAATTTACACATAGAAAAACCAGCTGAGAAAAGAAATCTTATTTTTCACTATAGGTTATGCAGTAAGATAAGAAATATCAACTTGATTGGATGACAGTGTGATTAAATTATATAATGCCACAAAAATATGAGGCTACAGTGAGAAATTTACAGATTTAAAACTCAGCTCCCAGCTCTGTAACTTAGTTTCTCACGGAATAGTTAAAACTAATTTACTGGATAAATAGAACAGACTTTTACCTATCACAAAATAAGGAAAACTTACCATTTTCCCCCAGCATCACCATAATTTCAGAATCTGTAAACTCTCCAGCTACAATTGCTAGCTCAAACTCTCCCATCTTTTTCTTCATCCCTGGATATTTATACATACACATCTTTTTAACTTCTTCTTCGTTTGCTGTCTCAGCCACTTTAAAAACAAGTGATGCATCTCTGAATCTCAAGTTTTCTGTTGGAACGTAGCCATCCAAAAAAATGTTTATGCCTGTAGGAAAGAAAATTGCCAATAGATTACTAAATATCAATTAAAGACTAAACTTTTTTTTTTTTTGCCCGGTAAGGGGATTGCAACCCTCGGTATGGTGTGGTCTGCACCACGCTCAGCCAGTGAGTGCACCGGCCATCCCTATACAGGATCCAAACCTGCGGCCTCAGTGCTACACCAGTGCTGCACTCTCCTGAGGGAGCCACAGGGCCGGCCCAAGACTAAACTTTTTCTACAGCAAAAAGTCATTATATAAAAGCCAAAAAACCCTAAGTTCTTATTTCAGTAGATTTCTGATAACATGAACACCTGCATATAATGAAGTGATAACAAGGTTTTTCATATATCTAATGTAAATTTAAGTAATTCATGCATATATATGTTGATATGCCTATACATATACTTACAAACACACATATATGTACATGAGCACATTTTTTCATTATCATGTATTTTTTTGGGGGGTGGGTGGGGAGAAAGGCTGGCCAGTACAAAGATCTAAGTCCTTGACCTTGATATTGTAAACACTGCACTCTAACCAGATCATGTGGTTTTTATATAAGATTTTTTTCCCATCAGGTTTTAAACAAAAGACAGCATATGATGTCATTTCTGCTGTATTTTTAAATAATTATAATTTTTTTCTAAAAATGACAGTAGGTAAAAATGAAATATTTTCATAGATATAAAAATTAATATAAAATAGTTTGGGACATAGTTTTGTAAATCAACAGTTTGTTATGAGTATTCAATTTCACATGAGATAACCATACACTTTGAAGTTACAGTTAATTGTATTTTTTTCAGATTAATTTTGCAGGTTCAAAAGAACATAAGCTAAACTTCATTTAACATTATTTTTGGCTTCATTGTACAAGACAACCACCATTATCTAAACAGCTTTTAATAACTAAAAGTAAACTAACATTGGATACAAGACCCCTCCCTACTAAAATTGTTAAGATCAGCAATGACAGATACACAGAAATTAAAAAGTGGATTTTTGGGGAACCATGAAAGCTCCATTTTTCGGTGTATACTATATATAAGTGAAAGTAAAAAGATAGTAGCTGAAGTTTTACAGGGTCTTGCAAGGAAGCCTAAGGATGTTATTCATTTCAAGTGGAACTGAGGGCCACATCAGGGGGCCTGGACCTTTAGCCTAGAACATAGGTGTTTAATAAATGTTTGCTAACTGAACAAACAGATACACTTTGCCAAAATTAGCATTTAAAAATTACATATGTGAAGTTAAAAAATTAAAACCAAAAATTACATAAAAACATAAACTCGAAGGGATCTTAGTGACCACTTAGTCCAAGAACCTAATTCATAAATTAAGGAAATAAAGGCTCAAAGAAACAAGTGAATTTGCACAAAAAAGATAGCTAGTCAGTCCTTACATTTCTACTGTAATATTTGTCAATTTCAAAATGAGCCCAAGCTATAGTCATCTTTACAGTTCACAGTTTTTACATATACAACATTAATTTCAGTATAGTAAGGGAAAGAGAGATTAAGTGCAGTTTCTCACTTACTTCAATTGTTTCAACAAATGAGGCACATTAAAAACCTCACCAAAAGTCATTTATTGAATAGCATTAAAAACTGGAAATGTAAGGAATGATTGTTGAGTACCCATATCATTATCAACCTGGTTCTATAACTATAAGGTGTGAAGATAGATAATAAATACTTGTTAATTGAAGAGAATAAAACATAATAATTGGTTCTGATATCATCCCTGTCAAGAAAACTGGACAACCTTACAATTTTTCCTAAATATGCACCTATTTATCTAAAATGTTTACATAGATAAGTTACAGCAATTGCTTCCCTACATCTTAAAATATTTATGCACTTTTTAGAGATATAAAAGCTGCCATCATATTTTTATGAAAAGGATGAGATGCAGTATAAATTTATTTTTCCAAAAGAGTTTTTTAAGTATCTCACTAAGGTCAAGGGTTCAGATCCCTGTTCTGGCCAGCCGCCAAAAACCAACCAACCAGCCCACTCAAAACTTTTCAGATAGTTTTTTGTTATTGTTGTTAAAAAAAAAAAGGGGGGGGGGGCTTGTCACCACTGAGGGAACTACAAGGCTGCAGGA